CTGGTTACTCGACTAATTGCCAAAATAACAGTGATTACTTGATCAACCCAAAAATCAATCACTCGATTTATCTGCAAATAACCGACAGATCACTTGATTAATCAGCAAAATAACAGTCTGACTACTTGATTGATAAAAAAACCTGACTGATCACTCGATTAATCGGCAAGATAATCCACAAAAGCGTCTGATTACGCGATTAATCGGCAAGATAATCCACAAAACGACTGATTACTCGATTAATCGGCAAGACAATCCACAAAAACGTCTGATTACTCGATTAATCTGCAGGATAATCCACAAAACGACTGATTACTTGATTAATCGGCAAGACAATCCACAAAACGACTGATTACTCGATTAATCGGCAAGATAATCCACAAAACGACTGATTACTCGATTAATCGGCAAGATAATCCACAAAAACGTCTGATTACTCGATTAATCTGCAGGATAATCCACAAAACGACTGATTACTCGATTAATCGGCAAGACAATCCACAAAAACGTCTGATTACCCGATTAATCGGCAAAATAATCCACAAAAACGTCTGATTACTTGATTAATCGGCAGGATAATCCACAAAACGACTGATTACTCGATTAATCGGCAAGATAATCAACAAAAACGACTGATTACTCGATTAATCACAAAATATAATCTACTGATTACTCAATCAATTGTCAAGATAATCGACTAATTACAATACTTGATTACCAAAATCATCGTTAGTGACAGCCCTCGATTCAAAATGCACCTGCATTGTTTTGCATTTTGTGACTTTCAGTCAAATAAAATACTATTTTTATAGTTATATATTTAGTCACTGAAGATTTCTTAAAAAGTCTTAAAATATCGATTACTCTCATTCTTGTGAACCCAATATCGTGTATCGTCGCACCCCTAGTAAAATGTAATTTCAAAACAATTGAAAATGAGTGACTAGTAACTTGATCCCTGCATGTATTTTTTCTTCATTCTGATTAGTTGCAGGAGTTTCTATCTGTAAGTCAATGATCAATTTGCAAGCAACACACGGGTAAAATCTCTCTAAGATGTGAAGATAAAGATATCTTCAGAGGAATTGGACTTTGCGAGTGCCATTTAAGAGTTAGTCTGAGGCAGTTCAAGAGATGGAAATCAATTCTCAGTTCAAACTCACTGCACTGTTTGCTTGCATGTTTTTTTTTCAGCTAAGAAATTGACATTTGCTTTAGAAGTGTGTAGGTCTACTGAATCAGAATGAACTGCAGTCGGCCCATGTTTGCTCACCTTGGCCATCTCGACCATGTCTGGACAATATCCTAATGTCTTCCTGACACAGATGTTGATGAAATTACATCAGTCCCAAAGCCTGCTTCTCATCAGACACTGACACGCAATTAGAGACTCCATTAGCACATGTTTTACAGGAGCGACAGGGTGCCGTCTTCACATCGTCTGATCGTTCAAAACTAACTGTGAATCTTACGAAAAATTGTCAAAAAATGACCATATGTTCAGCTCATATTTAACTTTCAAATCAAAAGACAAAAAGAAATTATACTTTGCATAAAAATATCATTTTATATTTATATTTGAATACATATTTTATATTCACAAATTAATTAAACAATTTTGGCATTGATAATTAAACACATTTTACCCTCAATTTTTATTACTGTAATACAAAAAGTGTATATATATATATATATATATATATATATAAAAAAATAATATATATGTATATATATATAATAAATTATATATATATATATACTCTATATAAATAGTACAATTGTAACTACACATCACAGCAGTATTTGTTTCATTAAAATATTTAGTTATATATTTAAATATGTCCAGATAACCGGAATATAATTTTTACTACAGGGTTATTTTGTTACAATAAAAATAACTATTTTCACATTTTACCCTCAATTTTTACTACTGTGACACAAAAAGTGAAATATATATATATATATATATATATATATATAAAAATAATAATATATATATATATATATATGTATACTGTATATAAATAGTACAATTGTAAGTATACATCACAGCAGTATTTGTTTCATTAAAATATTTAGTTATATATTTAAATATTGGGTTACCCTGACCCAGCACTAGGTAAGTGTGAGGGGTTCATCAACTGTATTGACAGTAAGAATAACCCAGCAACCCAGTTATAACCCAACAAAATGACCCAATCCCTGAATAGAGAGATGGGGAACAGAGAAATCTGGAATGAAGACCTCCTCACCTGTAGATACGTGTATAAAAATAATAAATAATACATCTCTTGGCAAAATATGTGGGGTAGCTTCAATGATTCGACAATTGTGGGGGAAAGCATGATCTCCACATGCGTCTGACCTGTTCAATATCAGTTTAATCTGGGCTTTCAACATGACCTTTAAACCTCATCTGGAGATATCCGTTTCATTGTTGGAGAAAGTTTCCATCTCTACTGAGAGTCTGTGGGGTTATCAATAATTCAGCTGATCTTTAAACCCCTGTTATTATGCAAATTGGCCCGGGTTGCTCGATACGAGTGTCACCCTTCAGATCTCTGCGGTTGATTTGATTCACAGAAGGCCTGACGTTCCTCAAGACTGCGGACCAATCGCCTCGACTCACAAACACAGAAGCTGTTTAACACTAAACGTGTCGCAATAAACCAGAGGCAATTTCACGGCTTCCTCTGAAAATTACCGTTCGCCCTTGAAAGCAGTCATCAGTAGTTGCTTGTTTCTGCCTTGTTCCGAATGTTTCCCCATTTTTATCGAAACGGGAAAAGGCGTTTTAATATGAAGCTTTGTCAGCGTCTAATGATGGCCTAATGCGGCTCTGTTGTGTGTTTTGGGCACTTAGTAAGAAAAAGGTGTTGTGTTTAAAAGCGTGCCGGCGCTCAGCAGATGCATATTCTTCCAGATCATTCTAGCGTAATGCGCTGGTTGCCTGCAGTGAGGCTCTGCGAGCGGCAATAAATGTCAGAAGTGTTTTACCGCGCGCTAGCTGTGCTGCCGTCGCAGACATTAAATTCCATTATGTCGCTTCATGCGCCAAGAGCAGGTCTGCTGTCGGAGGCAGGAGGGGGAATGCTGTTCACTGAATCACGGAAAAACTGAATCACTGAATCACGGAAAAACTGAATCACGGAATCACGGAATCACTGAATCACTGAATCACGGAATCACTGAATCACGGAAAAACTGAATCACGGAATCACGGAATCACTGAATCACTGAATCACGGAATCACTGAATCAAGGAATCGCTGAATCACGGAATCACTGAATCACAGAATTACTCAATCACTGAATCACAGAATCACGGAATCACTGAATCACAGAGACAGTCTGTTGCATCTACAGACCTACTGGTCACAAGTTTGGATTTTTTTAAATTCATCCATCCATCCATCCATCCATCCATCCATCCATATTCATCCGTCCATCCATCCATCCATCCATCCATCCATCCATCCATCCATCCATAATCATTCATTCATCCATCCATTTTCATCCATCCATCTTCATTCATCCATCTGTCCATCCATATTAATCCATCCATCCATCCATCCGTAATCATTCATCCATTCATAATCATTCATTCATCCATCCATTTTCATCCATCCATCTTCATTCATCCATCTGTCCATCCATATTAATCCATCCCATCCATATTCATTCATCTATCCATCCATATTCATTCATCCATCCATATTAATTAATCTACCCATTCATATTCATCCATCCGTCCATCCATCCATATCCATCCATCCATATTAATTCATTCATCCATCTACCCATCCATATTCATTCATCTATCCATCCATATCAATCCATATTCATTCATCCATCCATATTAATTAATCTACCCATCCATATTCATGCATCCATCCATCCATATTCATCCATCCATATTCATTCATCCATCCATCCATCCATCCATATTCATTCATCCATCCATCCAAATTAATCCATCCATTCATACACATTATGCTTATATTGTTTCTGAAATTTCCTGCTGTATTTATCATATTGCAACTGTATTTATTAAATGTATAGTGTATTTTGTATTGACTTTTGTATTTTAGGCAGCCTGCTAAGACCTGGCTAGGGACAAGAGATGGAAACTAGCACACGTAGCTAACTCTGGCTTGTTTACAGCATGTATTGTTGTTGATTAATGAGCATTGTCCCTATCAAATGAAGAAACAAACAAACAAACAAAATTCATCTACCCATCCATATTCATTCATCTTGAGGTTTTTAATAATTCAGCTGATCTTTAAAGATCCTGTTATTATGTAAATTTGCTCCAGTTTTAGTGTCGCGTATTGGCTGATTCAGTTCACTCATGGAGATCTGTGAACACAATAATATTTAATTATTTAACAGTAAAATAGAAACTATAAACAGAAAAATAAGTAAATAAGTTATATAGATATATAATTATAATGTTTTACTTATTTTACTATAAATATAAAATAAATATAACACATTATTATTATTATTATACTTTATTTTTGACATCTCAATTATTTGCGAATTACATAATTGGATAAATAATAATAATATTTTTTAACTTTAAATTTGTAAATGCGATATTATTATTATTACACTAATAATTATTTACTTTGTGTACGTTTTTATAAAATATAATATATATTTAATTGTATTTAATATTCACATTAAAACAGATAGATTATTATTATTATTATAATGATGATTTTCAATCATTTTTAATACTAATGATAAGAAAAAAAAATTCTGTTGATATTATAAAAATAGTTACTAATAGAATTGATAAATGCCTACAGTATAATGTGAGATCCCAGTTCTAGCTCTGTTAGGAAGGCTTTTAATCCTAAATGACTTGATGGATTAGACAGCGTAACCTGAGGTTAAGTGCTTCAGTTAAAGGCACAATAGGGGGATCTCAGCAGCTGCCCGTTTCATTAGTCACGTCTGTTTTTATGTATCGTAAAAGATGAGGTTTAATACCTGTACACCAGGGTGTCGTCTATGGTGCTGTTATACTGGATCTGATACATCCGGATGCCGGGGATGTGGCGTTCGGAGGGCCAGTGGATCACGGCGGAGTTGGCGGTCAGGTTTTCCACCACAACCCTCTTGTTCTGCGGCTTGGTGTCGTTGCTGCCGGATTTGGTGGACGTGGTGATGTCGGAGAGGCCCGGATCCGCCTCCCTCATGTGACCCGTGTTGTTGACGAACAGCGGGAGCGGGATCATGTTGACCTCGACGGCAGCCGTGGCGATTCCCGCGGCGTTGGAGGCGACACAGTTGAAGGCGCCGCTGTCTTTGAGCGTGGTGATCAGGATGTCTAGGGTGCCGTTGTCGTACAGGATCGTGCGGGAGTTGTTATGCACCAACTTTCCGTCGGGAAAGCGCCAGTGGATAGCGGGATCGGGGTCGCCCATCGCCTTGCACTTCAGCGTGACGCCTTGACCCTCCATGACGTAGGGTTTGGTGACCTGGTGTTTGGTGATGAGCGGCGGCTCGCAGATGAACTCCTCTTCCTGAATGGACCAGAAATACTTGTCCATCAGGTGCTCCGGAGAGGCACAGGTCTCTAGATCGTCCTCTCTCGTCAGGCGGCGCAACCAGAGCAACTCGCAGTTACAGTGGAGAGGGTTTCCGCCGAAACTCACGGCTAGCTTGTTGGAGCTGGACGTCTTGGGATCCGACAGGACTTGCGCGTGTTGGAACAGCGTGTCCGGCGGGAGCGTCTGGAGACGGTTGGATGTCATGTCCAGGCGCACCAGCTTCGTGAGGAGCGTGAAGGTCCCGACGTCGACGTGGTCGATCAGATTGTGGTCCAGCGTTAACGTGTTGATGGTGGTCATCCGGGCGATCGCCTCCCAGGGTAACGTCCTCAGGTTGTTGTAGGACAAGTCCAAGTCCTCGATGGTGGACACGAACTCGTCGAAGGACGTCGGCTCGACGTGGTGAATCTGATTGTTGCCCAGGATGAGGTGTCTCAGGTTGACCAAACCCTTCAGCTGGTCGCTGGTGATGACCGTCAGCCGGTTTCCGTCCATGTGTAACGCTCGGAGGGACTTCAAACCCACGAAGGAGTGCGGGGTGATCTGGCTGATGGTGTTGCGTGACAGCGTGAGGTGCACCAGACTCGTCATGTTCACGAAGTCTTTCCGGCGGATGGCCGTGATGAAGTTGTCGGTCAGCCGGAGCTCCACGGTCTTGCGGTCGATGGACGGCGGCACGAACAGCAGGCCGGTCTTGGCACAGAGGAGCGTGAGCGTGGGCGAGATGGTCTGACAGATGCAGCGACCCGGGCAATGCTGAGCCTTCACCAGAGCACCGAACACCAGCACATAAAACACCAGCCTCTCCATGATTCATCAGCTTCCTGGTCCTGCGGAAACACACAATGAAGACGTCAGGATTCGCACAACACACAAACGCTTGTGTGGCAGCATTGTGTAGTTGAATAGCAACGACAGATGCCATTTACACTAAGTGAACGTAGCAATAGGATCTATTTTCTTTGCAATCAGTGTAAATATGAGGTAGATGCTATTTATTAGGGATGCACCAATATTCCATTTTCGGCCGATAACGTTAAAGGAGTAGTTCACCTTTGAGGCGGCATTGAAACTCTCATTTGGACCCCATTGAAGTCCATTATATGGAGAAAATCCTGGAATGTTTTCATCAACAACCTTAATTTCTTTTCGACTGAAGAAAGAAAGACGTGGACATCTTGGATGAGTCAATTATCAGCAAAAGTTTTCTTAAAAGTGATCTACACCTTTAATGCTTCATTTTAGAAAGCTGCTAACCGATATATCGGCCGATAAATCTAAATCTTTTATATCATTTTTGAGGGTCTGATTAGAAAACTAAAAGACTCACAATAAAAAAAGCCATGTCCCAAACACACAATTAAAAGTTTCTCATTATAATGTGCTTGGCATATAAGTGAAAAAACCCATGCTAAAGTTGACTAAAAAGATGAATAAAAAATCATCTTTTGGAAACTGATTTTAATGCCTTAATTGAAAAAATGAGGAAAAATCCATCCTTTGAGGACACCAATTTTCTTTGTGAATGAATAATGTGTCGTAAATAAATAAATGTTCTTCCTTAAAATACAGGGTGCAAGTGTCAGGACATCCCGGTGTTAAATTCCCATAGAGTCGGGCAGATTTTTACTTTTAGGAGGAGATTCCCCTCTCTATGTAAAGCACTTTGAGTGCAGAGAAATGTAATGAATTATTATTATTATTATTTTAAAGGTCAGTTATAATATGCATCCTGATGAAGTTCCCATGGCCTTTGGAGTTAAAATACCCCACCTATAGATTAACCTCAACAACATTTATTTATTCACCATACATTATTCATTCACAACAAAAATTGGTGTCTGTAAAGGTGGGATTTTTCTTCATTTGATAAATTAAGGCATTAAGATCAATTCCCAAAAGACGATTTTTTAATCGTTTTTTTGGTCAGCTTTAACACGGGTGTGTTCACTTCTGCTAAGCATTGTATATGACAGACTTCACTGTATTTCTAAAGTGATTCCAATCATATTTCAAGCAATTCAAAACCATCATTTCGAAAAATGTAATGAATTATTCTTATTATTATTATTTTAAAGGCCAGTTATAATATGCATCCTGATGAAGTTCCCATGGCCTTTGGAGTTGAAATACCCCACCTAGAGATTAACCTCAACAACATTTATTTATTCACCATACATTATTCATTCACAACGAAAATTGGTGTCTGTAAAGGTGGGATTTTTCTTCATTTTATAAATTAAGGCATTAAGATCAATTCCCAAAAGACGATTTTTTAATCGTTTTTTTGGACAGCTTTATCACGGGTGTGTTCACTTCTGCTAAGCACTGTATATGACAGACTTCACTGTATTTCTAAAGTGATTCCAATCATATTTCAAGCAATTCAAAACCATCATTTTAAAAAAGTGTGCAAATCTGAAGTGTCTCGGCTGAAGGAAATAATACATTATTTACCGGCTTTAATATATCAGCCAAATATTCTTATCATACCAAAAACGATAATATCAAAAATGAATACCAGTATGGTGGCTGATATATCATGCATTGCATCCCTACTATTTATACTTATAAACTACTTACAGTGTTGTTGTACATTAAACAGTATGAAATAATAACTTTTTTATACTTTTATAAACATAATAACAGGATGTTTTATTTGTGATATTGCTATTGTCAACAATCCATCATCTTCAGTAATTTTGTCTGGCTAGACGTCAGTGAATAGACACTCCGTTAATTTTATCCATGGATTAGATGGTCATAAATGTATCTGTATGGAAAGTGGAGGGATTGAGAACATCAGCTGAGAAAGAAAGTCATTTCAGAAGCGACTCAAGATACCAATTTCCACTAGATAAAAAAATAATCTGAGAATATAACTTTTTTTTCCTTTAGAAATAAAGAACATGTCATTAGAAAGCAAGCATTTCATCACAAAAGCAGGAAGTTACTGACCCTGAGTTTCTTATTAAAAGTTTTCCTAACCTTTCGTGCGAGTCCAAGGAAAAGTAAACATCATCCAATATAAACAAGCTTCTGAAAATAAGACCAAATCCTTGAACTCTGCCATGTATTTCTTGTTATACTCTCAACAACAATTTATTCCCCACAATACGACTTTTCACTCGGACAAATCCTCTCCGGCACCTCATAATCAAGGTCCGTGGATGGCTTTGTGCGCTCCGGACCGATTCTGAGCCGAAGTAACACTCCGGAAAATTAGACGGTTGTAGGAGCGGCTTAATTGTCCTATAAATTGTGGTAATAAACCTGAAGGGATGTGGAGGAATAAAACGGGCTTTGATCTACATCCATCAGGTTTTGATGTGGTTCGATGGCTCCCGTGTGCTACGACAGACGCTCACACTCTCTGATCTCCATTTAGCCGGATTGATTTCTCCGCTCAGAGATCTGGCTCTACATTGAACGGGTGGGAGAAAATATATATAAAAAAAAGCATAAAAATGCTGAATGCTGAACTCCCTTAAGGACCGGCACATCTGGTGTTTCTCCGTGACATCTGTGTCCTCGCATCTCCGTCGTGTTTATCGATGCGTCCACGGCACGTTTTCTGAGCTTTCTGTCCTGTGTAATGTCAAACTGATGACACAGTGTTATCTGGACTTTATTTATCTGCTCATGTTACATATTAGTGTGTGATATCATGTATGAAACGATGTCTAAATGAGATACTCTGTCAAGTGTAAAGAAGTGTCTCTGGCTGATTGGGTTTGTTCTCACGTATGTAAGCAACACGACCCTGACTGCGATATGTCAAGAGTCCTGTAGTTTTAATAAACTCTAATGCATTATATTAAGTTACAAATTATATTAAATTTATAATATATTCATGAGGAATTTCCTGGTGATATAAAATAAAGCAACACACTATGATCACTATCAGACAGACAGACAGACAGACAGACAGACAGACAGATAGACAGATAGATAGATAGATAGATAGATAGATAGATAGATAGATAGATAGATAGATAGATATAGATAGATAGATAGATAGATAGATAGATAGATAGATAGATAGATAGATAGATAGATAGATAGATAGATAGATAGATAGATAGATAGATAGATAGATAGATAGATAGATAGATAGATAGATAGATAGATAGATAGATAGATAGATAGATAGATAGATAGATAGATAGATAGATAGATAGATAGATAGATAGATAGATAGATAGATAGATAGATAGATAGATAGATAGATAGATAGATAGATAGATAGATAGATAGATAGATAGATAGATAGATAGATAGATAGATAGATAGATAGTTAGACAGATAGATAGATAGATAGATAGATAGATAGATAGATAGATAGATAGATAGATAGATAGATAGATAGATAGATAGATAGATAGATAGATAGATAGATAGATAGATAGATAGATAGATAGATAGATAGATAGATAGATAGAAGATAGACAGACAGACAGATAGACAGATAGATAGATAGATAGATAGATAGATAGATAGATAGAGATAGATAGATAGATAGATAGATAGATAGATAGATAGATAGATAGATAGATAGATAGATAGATAGATAGATAGAAAGTTAGATAGATAGATAGATAGATAGATAGATAGATAGATAGATAGACAGACAGACAGATAGATAGATAGATAGATAGATAGACAGACAGACAGACAGACAGACAGACAGACAGACAGATAGATAGATAGATAGATAGATAGATAGATAGATAGATAGATAGATAGATAGATAGATAGATAGATAGATAGATAGATAGATAGATAGATAGATAGAAAAGTTAGACAGACAGATAGATAGATAGATAGAAAAGTTAGACAGACAGATAGATAGATAGATAGATAGATAGATAGATAGATAGATAGATAGATAGATAGATAGATAGATAGATAGATAGATAGATAGATAGATAGATAGATAGATAGATAGAAAAGTTAGACAGACAGATAGATAGATAGATAGATAGATAGATAGATAGATAGATAGATAGATAGATAGATAGATAGATAGATAGATAGATAGATAGATAGATAGATAGATAGAAAAGTTAGACAGATAGATAGATAGATAGATAGATAGATAGATAGATAGATAGATAGATAGATAGATAGATAGATAGATAGATAGATAGATAGATAGATAGATAGATAGAAAGTTAGACAGACAGACAGATAGATAGATAGATAGATAGATAGATAGATAGATAGATAGATAGATAGATAGATAGATAGATAGATAGATAGATAGATAGATAGATAGATAGATAGATAGATAGATAGATAGATAGATCGATAGATCGATAGATAGATAGATAGATAGATAGATAGATAGATAGATAGATAGATAGATAGATAGATAGATAGATAGATAGATAGATAGATAGAAAAGTTAGACAGATAGATAGATAGATAGATAGATAGATAGATAGATAGATAGATAGATAGATAGATAGATAGATAGATAGATAGATAGATAGATAGAAAAGTTAGACAGATAGATAGATAGATAGATAGATAGATAGATAGATAGATAGATAGATAGACAGACAGATAGACAGACAGATAGATAGATAGATAGATAGATAGATAGATAGATAGATAGATAGATAGATAGATAGATAGATAGATAGATAGATAGATAGATAGATAGATTACATAATTCAATAGATAATTCTATAGATAATCCCTGAATATTAGTCTCTAAATGAATATTCATAATTGCATGCATTATAATTACATAAAAATGAGAAAATGCTGTTTAGCTAGTTTAGAATGAAGTGTGTATTTCACGCTACTCTGCAAACACAAGCGT